GAACCTTAGGAGATCACACTGTGGGCTGAGAACTTTACCTCTCTGCCCTCCCCTCCTCACTACCCAGAAGCCAGGGATGCTGCCCCAGGGCTGAAAGCTGCTTTCTAACAAGATTCCTAGCCCTGTTCTAGCTACGTTCCAGTTAGCCTGTTTTCTGTCCTATACATTGGCAGTGGTCTGCGGGGTACCTGCCTGTGTCACATGCTGGTATGGCACATCTGGTGTAAGCACAAGTCAGGGTATGGGAAGTGGCTTTGACATATGCCACTCCCGAACCCCTAAAACATCTGTTTGACACCTCCTGTTAATATACATTGCAACTCCCAGCAGCCAGCTTCCTCCCATCTTCCCCTCTTTGAGCTCTGTGCCAAACCAAAGCCTCTTACCAAGGAGAAAGAGACACACCCCACCTCTAAACCTGAGTTCAAAGGGAAAAGGAAAAAACAAAATATATCACAGACAGGTACAAATTCCCTGCAATGAAAGTTATCGATGTGCATATCTAAAACGTGCCAATAAAATTTCTTTTTTTAAAATGTATTTGGTACAAGGTCTCACTATGCAGCTCAAACTCGTGGTGATCCTCCTGTTTTTAGCCTCCCCAGCACTGGGATTATAAGCATGTGCCGCCATGGCTGGTCTCAGTGGCTGGCTTAGCATGTCCAGAGGGCTGGCACAGCATGTGGTGTCAGGCATCAAACCCCCGGTTCCTGTGCTTGCCTATGGAGGCTCTTAGCCCACTGAGCTATCTCACTGGCCCTTAACATTTCTTTAAAATGCAAAATAAAAAAATCGCCCTGAGTTCTGGGAGATGGGACGCCTGGAGAGGTCATGCTACGATGACTTTAAGTAGGCAATAAGCCAATTAGCCTGGATGCTTTGATTTGGGGTATTTTGTTCTGTTGAATTTTTGATTTTTGGATTTTGGTTTTGTTGTTTAGTTTGGTTTGGTTTTTGCCTGCTTTTTGACACAAGGTCTTGCTGTGTAGCCCAGGCTAGCCCTAAACTCATAGTGCTCCTCCTCCCTCAGCCTTCTAAGACCTGGGAGTATAGGCATGCACCACCGTGCTCAGCCTGAATGCTTTGGAGGGTGAAAATTTGAACGTTCTCATGAAAGGCCTCCGGGCCAGACAGGCTGGCTGGACCCAAGGCCTTCCCTGGCCAGTGGGGCAGCCAGACTCCAGCCTCTACCTAGGCCCTGTACCTCTCCTCCTTCTGAATGAAGCCTGTACTCTGCCTCTGTTTCTCCTTTATCCTGCTGAATCACAGTGAGAAGCAAATCGTGGGATTCACAACTCTCCAAAATAGCGCCCCAATGAGAGCGGGAACCCAAGATGAGCGACAGAGGCAGGGGTTGCAGAAGGATACAAATGGGATCAGTGTCCCTGCTGAACCCGAAGAAGCTGGAAAGAAGGTGTACTTGAGTTGGTCCTTGAAGGCAGGGCAGGAATGAAGAGGCAATCTTGAGAAGGGTCTGCCAGGCCAAAGGAAGAGTCTGAGTGAAGGCTCGGTGACAGGATGCGTCAGGTGTTAGGAGCAGGAAGGACAGGGTGCATACCTGAAAGACAAGGTGCCTAAAGCACTCACCTAGAAGATAAAACTGGATGTGGTGGCCCACACCTATAATCCCAGCACTCTGGGAGGCTGAGGCAGGAGAACCATAAGTTTGGACAACTTAGTGATGTAGAAAAATTCTGTCTCAAAAAAAAAAATTTAAAAAGGAAGCTGGTACATAGTTCAGTGAAAAGGCCCTCTGTTCAGCCCCCAGTACTACAAAAAATGAAAATAAGGGGCTGAGGAGATGGCTCAGTAGAATAAGCACTTCCCTGGCGAGTGCAAGGGCCTGAGTTCAATCCCCTGTTCCACCAAAA